TTCCCTACAGGTGTCCCAAGAAACCCTGGCTCTGGAGGAAGCCAGGCCTACTGCTGGAGCTGAAGTGCTTTACGAGTCCCTAACGGGGAGGGGTGAGAGCAGGGGGCACGCCGACCCTCCAGGACTGGTGCTCTCAGGCACGCGCTCGAGAACACTAACCCCGAGATTCCCCCCAGAGCTCAGACTCTGGCCCCTGGGGCACGAGGAAGGAAAAGGTGGCGGCTCCTGCCCCAAGGGGACGGCAGAACAGCTCCAGGGCTTGTGGCTGGCGTCCCCGACCTCCAGGCGTCCAGGGACTCAGGTGTGCTGACGCTGTGCCCGCGGCGGCCGTGACATCCCCGCTTCGCCGGCAAAGGCACACTTCCCAAGGCCGCAAGGTCTAGACTCCTGGGCTGGGCGGGCTGGTGGTGGTCGGCTGGCTGCGCCGAGGGCTCCACAGTCACCACGTCGTCCATGGCCTGGAGGGGGCTCCCTGCTTCCCCGGGCTGACAGCGGCAGTTCGGCCGGCCTGCACCGCTCGGCGCCCAGCCTGGTCGGCCCGCGGGGGATCCGGGCGACGGCTGGCTGGGGCTCTGACGCCTGCCTGCTTGGCACAGGCGGGTTTCCGGGCGCTCTCCTGCCGCGTCGCCGCCCCTCAGCAGCAGCGTCCCGTGGTTTCAGCACGTCACCACCTCCAACCGACACTCGCAGGCATGAACCACGCAACTCCCAACCGGACAGTCCTCGGTCTTCCACTCGGAATGAACACTGAGTGTCTGTATTCTGATGGTTAAAGTCGCTCTTGTATATTTGAAGCGTAAAGCTTACAGTGGTATTTTTACAGCGTTTTCTCGAAGTTTAAGGTGGGAGCGATGAGCCCTATGATGCTGGAGGAGGCGGCAGCACAGCAAGCAGCCAGCAGGTGGCACGTGAGGCTGGTCCCTCCTGGGCACTCAGGGCAGCTCAGGGCACGCACGCCCTTCTTCCACCTTCCACCGTTAACCGCGTGTTCTTTACGCCCCCTTCAGACACCCTTAAACCACCGGGTTCCCTCCTCCAGGCCAGTCCTCTGGTGACTACTTTTCCGTGTTTGGAACAACTATTTAGGTTTTCTTGGCAGTTTCCCCTGAGTCTCCATAACGGCCCTAAAGGAGCGTTTTGTGAGCAAGACAAACAGCGCCCCTGAAAAGGGGGTGATGAAAGCACACAGTTTAGAGGAGCCAGGAGGAAAACGGGGTTCCGACTCCGCAGCCGGAGAGCTGGCCTGCGCCGGGGGCCCTGCGGGTGTGAAGCCTCTGCACCACGGGGGAGCCTGCAGGCCAAGCCGAGGCCAGTGCCTGGCCAGACGGCTGGGGCGGGGCGGCGGGGCCGTCAGGCGGGTGGGAGCTCCTCCCCGCCCGGGACAGACAGGGCGGCGCCAGACCTTGGGGCTCGTGGAGACCAAAGCGCTCCCTCAACCATGGGCCAGGTGTCTTCTGTGACACTCGCTACAACTCTGGGCCACGTGTGATGTTCTTACTTTCAAAACAGTTCAACGGCCAAAACCAGCTGGGACAGGGGTGAGGGCTCCCTTCAGGCACAGCATTTAAAGCTGAAACTCAAGAAATCCCTGCAAGTAATATTTTAATGAGATCTTCTTTAGCAGTCAGAAGTGCTTCCAAACAATCCGGACGGGCAAGCGTTAGCACAGCCCACAGCCAGGGCTCCGGGGCCAGGACCACACCGGCCCCACTCCGCACGTCTCAGGCTCCAAGGGTCACGACGCTGCCACGCGTCACTGTTCTATGGACTTGAATGAGAAGCCTACGTGCTCAAAGGCATCCTACTTGACAACTCAAATGACTTCTGATTTCATGGGGTGAGTGCTGTCCTTTAATCGTACTGCCCTTGGGGTGTCCCGGCCAGAGAAGGTGGTCACAGGAACCCAGCGCCCAGCCTGCGGGCGCGAGGACCAGTCCGGCCCAGAGCCCCATGCGGGAAGCCTGGGGAAGCGGCCCTCGGGCACGGCAGCTGAGTGACCAGCAGTGACCTCAGATGACAGAAAACTGCGGGGCAGGTGCCCGCGTCCACCTTCAACAACATTCACACTCCAGCAAAGAGGCTGATTCGGTGTGTTTTGTTTTGTATTTGCAGGCACTGGGGTTGAAACAAAGCGACCGTGGACACACGGTTTACATTCTCCCGGAGGCCAGCTTCCTCCCTGAAAGTGCTGTGTGACCATTCATCATGTCCTGTCACAGGACTGTTGAGAGGATTCATGAAAGGAGGCTGGTATCTCCTTTGAAGGCAATCTTTCCACTGTCAAAAACACCACAACCAACCTGACAGGCAACAAACACTCAAGGTGAAAACCAAATGGAAACAATCACCTCCGTCCCAACCCCACCTGGCTCGCGGGGTCACTTCGCTGGAGCCCACAGGGCCGTGCACAACCAGTGGTGGCAGCCGGTGCAGCTTCAGACCTGCCGTGGCCACTCGCCCAGTCGGCGGAGAGCACCAGCCCCTCGGGGACTGTCTCAGGGGTACTCACACCACGGGGGCCTCGTTGCCGCTCCCCCCAGAGCCCCCTAGACAACAGTGAGAGGTCTGGGCCCACGAGAGGGCACCTCTAACCCGCGTGATGTCCCTGCGTCCCGGATGGCGAGTGACGAGGTCACGGCGCCAAGAGCACAGGCCCCCGCCGGCCTGCTCTGCTCCGCTTTGTGCCAGCGCAGTCCCCACACTTGTCCATGAAACGGAGCCCACGCCCAGCACAGGCAGCTGGAGGGCGCTGTGAAAAGCGGCGGCAACGGAGTCCCTCGGGCACTCGGCTCAGAACAAGGGCCACTCGCAGGAGGCTGAAGACAAGCTCACCCCGGTACCTCCCATGTCTCCCCAAGAACCGTCCAGAACAGGGAGGGAAACACAGACCTACCCGGGGCACGGCACCCGCACAACACGAGGATGGGGCCCGGACCCCACGCGGAACGATGCTCCTGGGCGGGGCCCACACTGCCTCCACGAGGCCAAGCACCAGAGACAGAGCGGGGGGCTGCTTTATCAGGACGCCAGCGGCGGGGGGGGGGGGGGGGGCTCCCGCCAGAGCGGGCCTGGGGGGCCTAAGAGCGCACAGCTTCTGAGATGAGTCCTTTGAAACTGGGCTGCGGCGGCAGGCAAAGAAGTAAGGGGGCGGAACGCAGGGTCCGGCAGGCACAGGGCCTCGCCACCAGAGGGCGCTCAGCCCGCCTCACCCTCGGACAGACCCCTGCGAAGCCACCGGACTCTGCAGAGCTGCCAGCAGAGGGCACCGTCGGAGGGCGAATCTTGTAAACACCCCGGCCATGAAAATGCACACGAGGAAGATAACGCAGGTCCACAAAGAACCACTGCAAAAAATCAGAAGGTGAAACTCCACACGTATCAGAGACAAAGTCAGTCTGGAAAAACAAGAAAACTGTAAGACGATGCTTTCAACAAAACAAAATATACTTAACATCTGAGGATATGAAAATCACCTTGAATCAAAACCTCAAAATTTAGGGGGGAAATGGATTGAAAACCAGAAAGAAATGAGAGTTGATTTGACACAAGAAAGAAATGAGAAAAAAGGACAAAACTACCTCCGAAATTAATATAAACTGTAAAGTGCTCAGGGGAGAAAAGACTCCAATAAAAATGTAGTAAGAGGCAAAGAAGAAAGGCAGAAAAACAAGAGAATAAAAATGAGACAAAGAAAAGAAATTAAAGGGCCAAGAAAAAAAACAGGGGAAAAGCAACCAACCAAAGGAGGACATGTACTCAGTCGTCAGAGCCCCCAGAGAAGGAAGACAAATGTGCGGCAGAGGTTAATACTCAAACTATAATCCAAGGAAACTTTCAAGAAACAGAAAAAAAAAAAAACCTACACACTGAAAGGGCATGTGGGCACCTGGGAAAGTTAACCCATAAAAATCAACTTCGACAAAGCCTCATAAAACTGTCAGCTTTCCAAGATAAAGAAAAGGCCTCCAGGTAAAAAGAGAAAATAAACCATCAAGACGAGAGAATTAACCTGGCATCAGGCTTTCCCAAACCAACACAGAAAGCAATGCAACAGCACTGAAAAATCACTGAAAGCAAGTGTGAACCAACATTTTTATATCCAGCCTAACTGTCCTCCACACATCAAGGCCACAGAAAAACCGTTTCAACCTGCAAAACATCAGGGACTCTGCACCCTGAGCTTTGCGAAGGCTCAGCCACAGGCAGGGGTCGTCCCAACAAGGGCGGGGAAACCTCAGAAAAACGCAGAAATAAGCATTTATAATATATAAACATGCAGCTGGTGCTACAGCAGAGGTGAGGAAGAGGCTGGGAAACGTCAAGCACTGTGACAAGGTAGAAATGATGTAACAAAGCACGAAAGGGAAAGGGAAGGGGACACAACAGGCTCCGGATGCAGTGTGGCCACCGGGGAGCCGAGGAGAACGCTGACGCAAGCCCAACAGGAAACACACGAGAAAACCGGGGACTGAAGACGCCCAGAAACACTTACATACAAAAGTAACCACTAGAGCGCAGTTACAAAACTTCCTAAACACAAACAAAAATCTTTAATTAAGGAGCAAAGACTACACATCTCACCAAAAAACACAGCAACTATAAAAAATACACATCATCATAAAATACTGTGACTGAGTCAGAACCCACTTTGTCAGCTATATCAATACAGATGACGGGCTTAACTCACCCGTGACAGGAAAATGCTTTTCGACTGGACTCAGAAAACAAGACCCCGCCACGTGCTCTACACAAGAGACATACCTAAAGGAAGGGCTACAAATCAAGCAGAATGGAGGTTTTCCAGGCTGATGCAAACAGGAGAGCAGAGGTAACGGCCCTGACTGAGGACAAAGGAGACATCAAGCCCACTGGG